AAATGTGAGACTCTCATTATGAATAACCATCCAGGAGTCCTCTGTAGGGCAGATGGGAAGGAAGGTTCAGGACACAATGTGAGCATCTTGAAGGGTGAAGGCAGCATTTCCCAAATCATGAGAAAAATCAACTACATCAGAATCGCTTGGAGAGACTGACTTTTTACAAAAGACACCTGGGCTCCAACTCAATCCTTCCAAATCAGATTCTGAGAATGGGATGCAAAAATCTGGGCTTTGTTCAGAAAGGTTTTTCTAGTAATTCTGATAACACAAAAGCTTGAGGACCAGTCATTTAGCTTATCTTTTGTTCCATTGCTGTCAACTCCATTCAGAGGAAAATGAATGGCCATCAGAAAGAATTCTGTAGAGGGATAAAATCACAATGAGGGACTTACATTCTGGTGGATTTGGCAATTTAGAAATGGTAGTGATCCCATTAGAGTTTATGATTTTGTGCATATAAAGTGCAGGTCTTTCATGATTTTAAATTCAGCCAACAAACAGTTAGGCTTTTATTGAACACCCGCTGTGTTGTAGGCAATGTGGCTAGGCTGTGTGGGTAAAAAGAAGTATGTAAAGAATCCCTACCCTCAAGTAGTTTACAGTCTGGCAATTGTTTCTACTTCATAGATGACAGATTGTGGTTCAGAGACATTAAGTAGCTTACAAAGATGGACTGCTGATAAATGGCAGAACTGGGACTAGTTCTGAACTCCTGACGCCTTGTCCAGTGTTCTTTTGAGTTCACCTTCTATCTTTTTGGGTATAACAAGGTCCTTAAAAATAGACTTGTCTTGGGACAAGCTAAGAACATGAAGAATCATACTCAGCATATCTTTCCCATTTTTTTAAACATTGCAGCCATCTTTCTTATTAACATTGGAAATACTTCTGTCATTGGAAAATGCATCTGACTATGTAAGTTCCTCACTATGATCGTGTTCAAGCCTTGAGACTTACTAGAATAAAAGGATTCTTTCAAATGAGGTTCTTTGGAAACTTTTATAAGTACGCTCTCTTAAAAGCAGGTCACAGAGAATAGTGTCAAATACTGCAGTGATGCTGAGTAAGAGGAAGTAAGATGTTGAGTTGAGGCCATTAGTGACCTTGGGGTGAGCAGTTCTGATCCAGTGATAGGGACAGAAGTCAGAAAGCAGGAGCATGAAGAGGAGCTGAGGAAGGAGTGGGAGAATCTTGCTGAGCTCAGACAGATAGATGTTCAAGATAAATGTGGGTAGGTAGATGGTGGGAACCAAGGTAGGGGGCAAAACTAGGCCAAGAAACAGAAATTGAGCACAAGGAATGGTGGGTTAGAACTGGAGTTGAGCTTATTTGCAGAGATGCAGAGCAACACCCAGAGGCTGGTGTTTGTAGTTGTTCAAGTGGGCCGACCAAGTCTTGTTATAGGGGGTGGAGCTGTACAGACAGTTCTGGTGTGGAATCTTTCTAGAACTGACCTGTGACTAGCATTCGTACTTGTTCCTGAGAAGCCAAACACTTTGTTTCTCTGGCATCATCGTGCCTGACGTCTGCCACCAGAATAGGCTATGGGATATGTCTCTCTACAGAGCTTTTTCTACACAGTAAGCCACCCTGATATTTAACGGTTTAAAACTACCACCATTAATTTAACTCACAATTTTATGGGTTAGGTGGGTAGGGCTGGGCTGATGTATCTGTGATCAGCTGTGGGTCAGGTAGGACGCTCTACTTCTGGGGCTAGTCTGGCTGCTGGCTGAGGCAATGGGATGACTGGGCCATGTATCTCTCATTAGCTAGCAGGCTAGCCTGGGCTTGTTCATGTTGACATAGTGGCTGGACAGGGTTCCAGGAAAAAGAGTACAAGGTCTCTTCAGGCATAGGCTTGGAACCGGCACAATGTCATTTCTGCTACACTGTGTTGGCCAAAATAAGTCATGAGGCTAGGTCAGACTCAAAGGGATTAGGAAACAGACTTTTGGTGGGAAGAACTTCAAAATCACATTGCAGACAGGTGTTAGAGGCAGGGAAGTGAATAATTGGGGCCACTTTTGCAAACAATTCACCCAATTGCCTTCTGCTTCTATGAGCAGGTAGAGCCCAACAAATTGGAATGTAAGTCACACTTTGTGGTTTGCACAGAAAATCTACTTCTCTTCCCAAGGGGCATGTCGGTCCAGGCACCTGCTGAGTGAATTGGTGGCAGCTCAGTGATTACATCCCCATTGCTTGGTCTTAGGCCTGGAGAACAGGCTTCTTGCTCTTGATTACCTTGAATGTACTCTGTAGTCCTTCGAATTTGAAATGCTTTTGGTAATTACTTGCTGCCCAAGGGAACCAGCTCTGGGAGGAATGTATAACAGTAGCAGAAATGAACAATACAAAAGAGGCAATCAAGCCCTGTGACTTCTGGGAACATCCAACACAAAATGTCATCTCAACTCTACTCCCTCATCTCCTTCGCAGGAGATGACCAGCAGTCCCACAAAGCTGAAGTAATTAAGCAGTCAACTCCCTAGGTGATGGCCTTGGCAGACCTTAACATGTGAAGAATTTTGCCTTCCTCCTTCATTGTCACTGTGCTGATAGGAGCTGTCTTTAGGATTTCTTTGTAGTTGAACAAAGCTGGTGATGGCCCCAAGTATACTTAGTGAACCCGGTTTAGGGGATGGTGCTTGAATACCAGATACGTTGCTCCCTCTTCACAGGGCATGCAGCCACCATTAACATTCCTCTTGCGCCTTTTGTGGGAATTACAAACTAATTACAGAATGCATAATTAAGTGCTTCATCTTTCAAATGCTGAAAAAATAAACTAAACATTTCTCCTTTTGAGCTTGATGTTACTATTGGTGATTAGCAACATGATTCACTCTGAAATGGGAGGGGTGTGCTTTGAAGTATACCTTTTACTTTTTAAAGTATAATAAAATATTGGAAGCTCAAGACAGGTTGGTTTTCCCTTCCCTAGAAGTAGAGATAAAAGGAAACCCCTTTCTTCTTATCCTTTGTGATTGATTGTTTTGTTCTTCTTGGACTAGTGGCCAAGGTTGTCATGGTCTGTGAAGCATAAGACAACTACTAACACTGATGCAACATTTTACACTTAGGGAAGCTTGTTTATACCCATATCTCATTGCGTAGTCACAACAAGCCTGTAAAGAAGGGTTTTTTTTTGTTTTTGAGACTGAGTTTTGCTCTTGTTACCCAGGCTGGAGTGCAATGGTGCGATCTTGGCTCACTGCAACCTCCGCCTCCTGGGTTCAGGCAATTCTCCTGCCTCAGCCTCCTGAGTAGCTGGGATTACAGGCACGCGCAACCATGCCCAGCTAATTTTTTGTATTTTTAGTAGAGACGGGGTTTCACCATGTTGACCAGGATGGTCTCGATCTCTTGACCTTGGGATCCACCTGCCTTGGCCTCCCAAAGTGCTGGGATTACAGGCATGAGCTACCACGCCCGGCCCAAGAAGGTATTTTTATCACCACTTTACACTTGAGAATTCTGAAGCTCAAGGACTCTATATGATTCAGTCCTACTGCTAGCAAAAGGATGAATGGGATCTTTAGCCAGGTCAGTATGATTTTAGAATTCCATGTGCTTCCTCCTCCAGTGTAGAAAAGGGAGGAATCAGCCAGGTAAATCCTGTCTGGGGCATGCCTTAAGGTACTCCATGTCATCCCTAGAATTCTTCTGTGTTTGATACAATGAAATGTTTCGCTTTGTGGTATGTGGTCATTGTCATAGTTCCACTGACAAAAGTAGAGTTATGACAGCACAAAGTGAATAGGCAAACTTACCCATTAAAGGATGTTGATATAGCATTGTCTGAACGCTGGGATTTGATCATGAGGTCAGTCCCTGTTATGAATTCTCCTTAAAATGGCATGAAAATTATAGAGCAAGCCTCTCTGGACCTGGGGCTCTTTCAAAGTAATCATGCATTTTAACCATGTGAATAGATACACTACCTTCCCCACAGTTCTTCCGTTTTATCATCTTGTCTCTTTTTTTGTCTCTACTAGATTGTACCATTGGCACATGTGAAAACAGACAGTGTATATTTAATATAGGAATCAACTGACATTTCTCCTTTCTTGGTTTTGGAGAATGAGGTCTAGGAGATCTTTGTTGGAATTTTCAGAAACTGCCAATGATCTCTTCTGTAGGAGATGTTCCATATACCACACCCGTAGCCCACTGGACACCCATCCAACTGATAGCACTTGCATTTCTTTGCCTGAGGGCCTTCTCAAGTCACTAGAGTCTGCTTTGCCATGCACTGGGTGAGACGGAAGTGCTAGAGCATTGACATCACCTGAGAGAAGTCCTTGCCAATGTGGTGGGTGTGCACTCCAGCTCCCTTACCCCTCTGGGAGGGTCACTTTGAGGCACATAGCCTCCAAAGGTTTTTCAGTGAGACTGAGCCACGGTTTCCTACTGTAGTAGCTGGCTTGATAATGCAACTGTAATATGCTGCCTTTGTTTTCTCTGTCTCACTCCTCCTCTCTCCTATTGGTATTTTCTTCACCTCATGAATAACTGCTTGCATTCAATACCACTTTTGGCAGATTCAGGGTTTGCTTCTGAGGGAATCCAAACTAAGAAATCTTTTACTCAAGCAATAGAGGCACTTCTTTTGCCAGCTCAGTAAGTGTTTGCTGAATGCCAATTCTTTGCTAAATTCCATGTGTGGAAAGCAGGTTTTCTTAAGTGAGTTCTCCAAACTGGGAGCTGATCATAATCCTGAAAGATCCTGAAAATATAATTCTGGAAAAATAACAAAAAACACTATTTTTTTCCTTTTTTATATATTAATGTTTGTAGAGACAAAGACTTGCTATGTTTCCCAGGCTGGTCTTGACTCCTGGTCTCAAGTGATCCTCCCACCTCAGCCTCTCAAGATGCTGGGATTACAAGTGTGAGTCACCACACCTGGCCACTAAAGGACATTATTTAAAAGACATTTATTTATGTTTTTAAAATATTTATTTGAGAAATATATAAAAGCATGATAGAACATTTCATAGGCCACTGTACACAGTAAAATATACAATAACATCTTTTTGCAAACATAAACACTCAGGTATGGTAATGAGTCATGCACATATAACAATCATAAGCAGATGAACTGTTATTTATAAAAAAAAGGTCAAAAATGGAAATATACAAATGTATATTGCTATGGCTGGTAATTGTGTGCACCAGCTTTATAACTTCTCTCATCTGAAACACTGACAAATAACCCAAGTCTTTTGATATTTGATCAAAACCCACCATGGGTCACCACTGCATATGCAGTCTCCCCAGTAATTGAGATCTGGAGAGAATTTATCTTTCACAAATGAAGATGTAACAAATGACCTGTCTTCATTTACTGAGGAAGTTTCAATGTTGTTATGTACACACACAATACTTCCACACAAAGTCAACCTTTTGATAATGCACTTACATGGAGTCAGATCTGTCAAAAAATACATAAAATGAGTTGGAACTCTCTAAAAGTCTCTATGCAATTTATATCTTCAGTATTGAAAATGATACAAATATGAGATACTTAGCATAGCAAATTGTAAAACATAATGCTGACAATTTAAAATAGTGGGGCAAAACTGAAAAAGGAAAAAATAACCCCAGAAAGCCCCCCAAGAAATGAAAAAGAAAATTTGATGTATGAAAAAGTACATGGCAGAAATAGTTTATGGGCAATTGCATGGAGATAGTCCATAAGAGCTGGCTGATTTTCACAATCATTGACGATATTTGAAGCCTTCCACAGTGAGGCATAGCTGCATTTTTTCTTACAGGGCATAACCCTCCTTAAAGAAAGTGTTCACTGTGGTGTTGCTCTTTTCGAAATTCTGTGATTTGCTGTACCCCGACATGAGCATTTTCTATTAAAATTTCTCATCTTCCTGCCATGCTTCCATGTTGTTTTGGACATGTGGAAATTCATTTCCCATGCACTCATATACAGACCAAAAATTTGGCAGAAACAATATTGGCGATGGACAGCAACACTGTTGTGTGTCTTCTTTAATTAATTAATTAATTAATTTATTTATTTATTTTTGTGTGTCTTCTTATTCTTCTGTGCATATAATTATTTTTGAACCAGTCTGTAACTTCATTAAGCTTCTTCAGGCAAATCTGGCTTTAACTCATAAAAGCTCCTGGAATTTAATCAGTTGGAAGGAATACCAATGCAAACAAATGACACGTTTGTAAACTGAAGTTTTCGTCTTTGCCATATCACATGGCCAATCCACTCTTCGGGACTTTCTGTCAAATGCATTGCACTGAATGGAAAGAAAACAAATTTTATTGGTAACATCTTGAATTCTCTTTCAGAAGCCTTGATCGTATGTAACTCCGACTCTGTCATTTTGATTTGGGATTCAATTAGACATTAGGAATTTTAGACTGTAGGGATTTAGACATCAGGGATTTTGGTCTTTTGGGATTTCAACATTCAGATTATGGCATTCAGGATTGTGTCTTTTGGGATTATTATCCAAACTCCGTGGAGAAGTACCAATGTCGATAAGGAGGCAGAGGGTGTAGGGGGAAAGCATGGTTGACAGGGTTTATTTTGGTTTTCATGGGAAGGAATGGGTGAGACAGGGTCATGAAGATCATTTTAGGATTAGCTATTTGAATAATTTCAGCAAGCTCTGGAGCATAGGGCCTGCTCCTACTTGGCTGGTAACTGACCCTGTGATAACCAGGGTAGGGAAGTAGTATAGTCTGCACTAGACTATTATAGATTAGAATAGTAGAGACTGAAGTAGCCTGATAAAAGGAGGAGAACTGGTTGGTTTGCATATCAAGGGCATGCTCTCAGGAAGTTTGTTATCTTTAAGAATTAGCTAACTCTGGAAGGGGCAGTCCCTCCCAGATCCACGAGATGTCAAAGCCTCATAAAAATAGAGAAAATAAAAAACATGATTAATATAATCTGCTTCTTGGTCCCCAGCCCTACACCTTCAGTCTCTGGTTTACAACTCATCCCTTGCATCCTGGCTAGCTAAGTCACCAGTTCAATTTGGTCTTGGAATCCCATGTGTGAATTACCCCTCTGGAGAATCCTGATGAGATTAAACCCAAGATAGTGGATCTATTTCTATCTTTTGGCCGGGGCCTCAGAGGATTAGACCCTGTACAGCTGAAGATGCTGTCTCTTTTTATTACCTCCCTGGATTAAGAAATGCTTTGGCCACCCAAGAAACACAGGGGGCTAGATTCTACTCCATCATGCCTCTTATTGCACATAAGTTAATCAGTAGCTATATGGATTTCTTTATATCATGGGCCATCTGGTGTCCTGCATCAACTCCCATCCAGGATCTGTCTGGTAGCACTAGGTCAAGGAATGGGTGCCACAGGGGCTACAGTGAGATGTGGAAGCATATGGCTAGATCCAGCCATTTCTCAGGAAAATGATCCATCTTTAAGAGGCTCTTGATCCCAATAAACAGAATATATCAGTGGCAATGTCTGGCTTTGTGGTCTGAACCAGAAGCTTATTGAATTAAAAAAATTCATAGGAAGAGCTTATAACAGTGCCTGGGAGGTAATAAACCCTCAACAATAGTTAACCATTATAATTCATCACTTTTACACTGCCTGACTCTTAATGGGACTCAATAAATGATGACTTACCACTACAACCAACTCATGCTACCCTGCACACACCATAGAATTTAAATGAATTGAAGTTAGAAAGTGATCCTGTAGGCTTTTTGTAATCTGCAAGGCACCAAAACAGTGCAAGGGGAAAATTCCTGGTAATAACTGCATTCATGATTTTCAAAGAAATATGAGAAAAACAGTAGATGTATGTAAAAGCATTTTGAATAACTGACTCCTATAAAGGGTTATAAATTGCTTAGCAGAGTTAAAAATACATTTTTTTGGGGTGGAACCTTAAATTAGGCATGCTGTGAAATTAATACTTCTTAATGACATAAGAAAAACTTAAAGTAGCTATAGACCATAGGTTTATTACATGTTGATAGACATTCTAGAATGTACATTTCAAAATAATTCATAGTAATTATTTCTTACATTTTCTTGTTAATTATCTTGTTGGAATTAACAGAGACTATTTTTGAATTTGAAAGCCATGTAAAAAGAGTGAGGTTCCCATTGTTTTTCATGTACCCTAATTATTCCAGAGAAAGCCAGGGATTAAGAATAGTTTATAAAAATAACCAGAAATCAGTTTGTTCTTACCTCTGCCCGCACCTCCCTGGTGGGATCTTGGTTTCCTCCAAAAGGGTCCTGAAAGTCTCTGCAGCAGATCTCACACATGCTCTCCGCTCCCCTGCCAAACCTGCATTTAGTCTTTATCCTCTCAGGCTCCTATCTGCTGTGGAGATTTCTTACAGCCCTGCCCTGCCACTGCCTGATGGAGTGGTTACTGTTGAAGGCTGTTATGCCCATCCACAGGCTGCTGGCACTGACCTCGTGTGTCCTGTCATGTCACCTTAGAACCTGCTACTGCTAATGTCCCCTTAATGGCCCAGAGACATCATAAACAAACAAACAAAGCTATATTTACTGACTTGTTCATTGCAGCTCTCTTTCTCCATCATTCAGACTCCAGTCTAGAGAGGTTAGGGAACAATCTGAGAGAGAGTGACATCTTATTCTCTGGGTACGTCCACCCTGCTAAGCCTGGGCCCCTGTCCTTGAATCATACCCACCCCACCACTTCCCCTGGGCCCTAGTATCCTTCAGACTTGTCCTGACAGCCTAAATCTCAAGGTGAATACAATTTGGGATTACTCTTAGACCCTTGCAACTCGATTAGTGAAGCCTCAGTTGGTAATTAAATTTAAAAGTCAAGCAGATCTGTTTTATTTGAAAAACAACCCACCTTACAAAGAAGTTGACACAGTTTCTAATTCCAATAGATTCTTAGAATTCCCTGAGAGGAAGGTTCCCAAACAGTGTACCCCTGGATTGAATTTACAAAAATGCATCTCACCATGGGTTCTGGAGTCTACCTGGGATTGAATCCTATGTCTGCATTGATTTACCTGTACAATCTGGGAAAGGTGCTTAAGTTCTATGGGATTTAATTTATTTATCTGTAAAATAGAGATTAAGAAATCTTTTCTATTCTTTAGTGTCTGAAAACTATTGTTTTATAGATTTTCTTGGTTTTATATACAATAGACTATTTTTGAGAACAGTTTTAGATTTACAGAAAAGTGGAGGAGGCAGTGTAGGTTCCCACATACCCCACACCATTTTCCCTATTATCAATATCTTGTATGAGGATGATACATTTGTCATAATTAATGAATCCATATTGATACATTATTATTAAGTAAAGTCCATAATTTTATTTCCTTAGTTTTTCCCTAATGTCCCTTTTCTACTTTAGGATCCAATCCAAGATACTGCATCACATTTACGTTGTGATGTCTCTCTAGGCTCCTCTTGGCTGTGGCAGTGTTTTGGAGTTTCCTAGGTTCTGATAACCTTGACATTTTTCTACTTCTTTTTCTTCTTCTTCCTTTTTTTTTTTTAAATACATTCTTTTTGGGCTGGTTGTGAGCACTAATTGCTATCTGTGAAATGTGTGTTAGAGAATATGGCCCATAATAAATGTGGCCCTGAGGCCTTGAAATAACTCAAAAGAAGACAAAGAAAGACCATTTTAGCCTATAGTAAAGAGGGAGGACTTTATTATTTCTGTAAATTCAAAGGAAAGACAGAAAATGGGATACCACAAGTATACTTCAAAAGGTAAAATTTTGGCTTTTAATTAATATTTGTCACAAGCAATTCATTTTCCTAGTACAAGGAATGTGAGGAGGATATTACTATTTAAGGTAGGATGAATTCACTAGCTGCTGTACCTTTCACCTGGGAGGTACCCATCTTAGGGTTGCCAGGTGCAGCAGATTAAAAATACAGGCCACCAAGTGAGATTTACAGGGAAATCTGTAAATATTTGATGTTTCCCATTACAGGGAAACATCAAATAATCTGTTAAGGTAAATATTCCCCCAATGTTGCATGGGTGTCCTGTATTTCACCTGGCAACTCTGACCCTTCTTTCTCCCCTGGGGAGATTCTGGCACCACATGACTTTCTGCTCTGAACATTTTACCAGAAGTCTTGATGATTTGATGTGTCTCCCATGTCCACATCAAAAGATCAGTAACAATTACCTGGATTCATGCATCATGACAAGGAAAAGCAAAGCCTTCTAAACTCAACTCTGGAGTGTGGTTTATGAGGCTGCTCTGCTTAATAGATGAGGAGATGCTGGCTGGAGGGCTTTGACCAGGCTTAAACATTGAGCATCATCATAATTCTTAGTGCTTAAATGGACAGCTCAGAATATACAGCACCTGCTTTTGTGGCTGAAGCCAGCCCCAGGAAACATTTGATAAATAGTGATAGCTATTAATATTTGCCCCTATATCACCTAGATCTGTTGATCACCTGTAGCCATCTGTTCTAGTTCTGCTGTGTGAGAAGCTTTGATAGATATGCCCATTAATCACAACATCACAGCTGGGCTTTTGAGGATTGATGGCAATTAATTGACAATATTTATTTGAGAAGCTGTATTACTTGGTGATATTACAGAACCACAAGTAAATCATGCTCTTCCCTACCCCTTTTCATTAATAATAAGAGCCACAGAGACATGCAGAAATTGCCACCATGTCTTAATTATCTCTCTAGGAAGCTACTTTTCCTGGGCAGCAGGAATATGTTGGGAGGGGGCTGGCCAGCTTTAGTCCTGGCAATTGCTCCTCATCTTTCCTAGGAACATGACAGTTTGGAGCTTCCCTGGGGCCTTTAAGTGGCCACCTGCCTTCCCATAGTAACAGTACCTCCTAAGTAGGCAAGCTAGAATAATTAATAAGAACTCTTAGGGGTATGGTTAGGGAGATATTGGCTAAAAGACACGTTTTAGTTAGAAGGAGTAAGTTTAAGAGATCTGTTGTACAACTGTACAATAGATGTGATTATAGTTAATAATCTATATTGTGTACTTGGAAATTTTTACACAGTAAATATTGTTTTTAACACAAAAATAAGTATGTAATACATGTTATAATTACATGTATTACATAATATTAAAATGTAATCAATTAACTTGTTATAATCAAACTAATGCTTGATTTAGCCAGTTCAAAATAAATACATTAATCAAAATATGATGTTATATACCATAAATATATATACTCTTCATTGGTCAATTAGAAGATAAATAGTTTGAAAACCTCATTGATGGAAGTTTGCAAGAGAAAATAATAAAAATTTGTTTGGGTCCTTGCATGCTCCTTCATGCACTGTATCACTTTGTGGCTTCATAGCAATTACCATAATCCTGCTGCACAGATGAGCTAAAGTGTGAGGACTTTCTGAAGATAATTAAACTTTTAGGATCAGAGTTTAGATCACCTGATTGAGACCAGGCCACGTTCTCTGATGGCTCTCACTTACTTTTGTGCCTACTTTCTAAAGGAGGGAAGTTTGTTTCTTCACCCCCTAAAGAACAATTTTATGATCCCAGAAGAAGGTGTTATTCCTGTTGGCCCAATATTTAGATTAAGGCATCATGGAAATCTGCAAATATTATAAATTATTTACGCTCTCAAGCCAGTTTTTAAACAAATACGCCATTGCTAACCCACAAAACCAGGCTTATCTCCGCTCTCAGTCTACATAGTTACTATTTTCTAAAATCAGTCTTTTCTCTACTAAACTTGCACTGTTCAATATGGGAGCAATAGGCACATATGTCCATTGAACACTTGAAACATGGCTAGTCCAAATTGAGATGTGATGTAAGTGTAAAAAATGTACTGGATTTTCAAAGAATTAATACAAAAAATGCAGAATAGTTCATTAAGAATTTTTAAAATGTTAATTACATGTTAAGATAAATACTGTATCTTATTTAACTAAATACCCAATAGGATATCCTTAGTTAAATAAGATACAGTATTGGCAGGGCGTGGTGGCTCACACCTGTAATCCTAGCACTTTGGGAGCCTGAGGCGGGCTGATCAGGAGGTTAGGAGATCGAGACCATCCTGGTCAACATGGTAAAATCCTGTCTCTACTAAAAATACAAAAATATTAGCTGGGTGTGGTGGTGTGTACCTGTAATTCCACCTACTCAGGAGGCTGAGGCAGTAGAATCGCTTGAACCTCGGAGGTGGAGATTGAAGTGAGCCGAGATGGCGCCACTGCACTTCAGTCTGGATGACAAAGTGAAACTCCATCTTAAAAAAAAAACCAAAACACACACACACACACACACACACACACACATAGTATTAAGTCTATTTTTTTTTTTTTACTGTGGCTTCCAGAGAATGTTAAATTATACATGTGGCTCACATTACATAGCTACTGGACAACACTGGTAGGCTATAAGCTTCCCGATGACAGGAAACATGTTTCCTCAGTAACTAGCATCATGTCTGCTACATAGTAGTTACTCAATAAATATGGTTGACTAAATGTATGGAAGGGGGTGGAGGAAAGAAGGTGACTATATAGGAATCTTATATGGGGCCTTACAACCCATTGAGAACAATAACTGTTAGATTTGGAAATATATATGTAGAAGTCATACGTGCAGACCAAGTTTTCTACTAGAGGTAGAACACCATCTGTGGTTTCCTATTAGAGGGCTCCTGGCTTCTATAGGAAAATATTTAGTGACTGAAAACTTAGTGCCTTAAGAGGGTGTCTGCCCGTGGCTGGGTATTCATTTGCTCCAACAATCCCCCACTGGATATACGCATGCGCGCGCACGCACACACACACACACACACACACACACACACACCCAGCAGCTGCTGCTTTGTTGGTGAGGATTAACTCCAAGTTCTCCCTTACTCCCTCTTCCTTGCTGGCCTCTCTCCATGATCCTCTCTCTTTTGATAATGTATTAGCATGGTCTTCTGGGATTTTGAATTAGTTAATTCCCAAGGCACTACTGCCCCCTAGTTGCTCAAATATTTCAGCTCTCAAATTAGGGAAAGATACTGATTGACCCCTAGGCCGAGTTTTATAGGTAGGGACCATGGCTTAAGGCAGAATCCAGTGATCCTGCTCAGAAAGAGGAACTAGGACAGGGTACCCTCTCCATTGTCAAATGGCATTTATCCCTGGAAATGCTTCCCTCTTATGTAATTGAATCTGTCTCCCAGAAACTTCCACCCATTAGACTATCTTCCTATTCTTCCTACTCAACCTCTCATCATTTAATAAAAGCAGTCAATATTTATAGAAACATTTCCATGAGCCATTGGCTCTCTTAAGACTTGTGTCTCTAATCTTGTTTAATCCTTACAACAACCATATGAGGTCATTACTATTATTAATTCCATTATAATGATGAAAGAATAGAAGCTTAGAGAAGTTAACTGCCCAAGGTCATCCATAAAGAGCGGCAGAACTGTATCAACCCAAGTTCTGATATCAAAGTCAATTAGCCACATTACTATACTGTGTTTTTTTTTGATCAGCTAATGCTACATTCGCCTTCCTTCACAAATCTTTTCCTGCTTTCCCATGATAATCTTTCAAGAGTTTGAAGACAGAAGTCTCTTCCTCCCTAAATACTAGTCACAAGTCATCTATTTTTTTCAGAGTAGTCATTCTTATTTTGTTTCCTCATCTGGTTCTGGCTGTCTGACCAGTCCTTAGACCTTAGCTCAACATTTGTCATGTACCATTTCAGAATTAGTCAGTGTAGAGGACAGGTCAGATCTGAGAAAGTAATAACAAATGCTCTTAAATAATTTTCACATATACTGTATTTTATTTGAGTCTAACAACAAGCTTGAGAGATAGTCTTACTATTTTCAGATTCGACCACAGTGGATGAGAAATCAAGTGACTTATCCAAGGTTACGCAGATAATGGATGAGAGAATTAGAGCTTTAAACCTAGATCTTCCTATGAAAAGTTTATCTTTCCTTTTACTTTAAGTGCACCAAATGATGTTGAGGTTCTTATGCATATCAGTACATTGCTCCCCTGGGGCCTTGGTCTCATGAGCTCCTGCACCAGAGCTCCTTGGAAAGTCTATGAGATGACTTTGACAGCCAGATGCACTCTTTAAGGAATATTACAAAGGCATGCCATTTATTTATAAAGATGTAAGTTTTTGAAAGAGTAACTGCATCTTTCTAAAAAGGCTCACCTTTGGTGGAGAAGGTCACTTGGATGGCTCAGAAAAGAGAAATGAGACTGAAAGATTATGCTATGGTAGATAAAAAGATACAACCATGCAGGCTCCATTCGTAAAGTACCTGTTATGGCGTGGGCTCTCAGTGATTACCCATCTGAAGGACAGTGCTCACGTAGCCTCATAAAGATGAAGACTAACCTTCTTTCTCTGGGTAAGGAGCAATCAAAGCCTAATAAGTTGAGATCATTTCTCAAACCTTAGGAATACTCAGGAATATAGCTGAAGCTAGAGCTCAGATTACTTATTGGAGCCAACCCTGGCTTTGGTTGCACCTTATACTCCAGAAGAACTTCTTAGAAAGACCTTTTGAAGAGTTTGTAAATGGTCGCCATGGTAACCAGTTTCCACGGCCACAATTGGAATGGGATGCTGGTAGTGGTGGCGAAGCTGTAAACACTACATTTGACCCTTGCTCCTAATAACACAACTGCCTTATTTTTCCGTGAGAAAGGATTGGGGTGTGCTCAGTAGCTAATAGGTTCAGATGGAAATGAAACAGCTCCATTAAAGGTACCTATAAAACTACCACTGAATTACATCAACAGGCCCATCTACTAAGTTTTCAGCACTTCCTGAAGTAGTCTTTAGGGGCTCTTTGCCACTAGAGTCACGATACAGTTAAGTAGCATTGTTTTAACCATTAGATAACTTCTCTCAACTGAAGCTAGTTTGCTGCCCCTTTTGCCTCCACTAATTCACTGGGAAACAGCAGCACTATAATTGTTCCTGGATTGTACCATGAATACAGGTTGTCACGCTTTTATATCCAGCTTAACAACAATGCATGTATATTGATAAGCATAATGGATGCTGATACACTGCTTTGCAGTTTACCAAGTACTTTTATAATCATAGTTTATCCAAGTGCTATTATAATTACTTTTAAAATCATTTATTTTATATCATTATCTTATCTCATCCACGCAAGAGCCCTGGGAAGTATTTTTAACCCACATTTTATAGCTGAAGAGAAGACTTGAGCCTCAGAAAATGGAAATGTCTTATTGAAAATCACATGGCTGGTAGTGAAGGGGCTGGGACACAATTTTAGGTCTTTTCAACTGCAGAACTCTGTATTTACTACTTCACTGTATTACAGTACAAGGCTCTTTGCATGTCTTCTCTGCCTTTTTCTTTCTGTTCCGAAGAGCCATGGATTCCTCTTTATTATACTCATTGTGAAACAATTTGCCTAGTTCTCCAACCACCATTCTGCTTATCAAATGCTGCCTTTAGGTTCTCATCCAGAACTCTCCTTTATCTCATTGGCTCCATGGAAAATGTTTATTCATTTAAAAACCCTCAAGTATCACCTCCTCTGTGAGACATTGTTATAGCCTCTTGTCTTTATTAATGAAAGACACGTTATTCTAATGAATGGCATTTGTTTTCCCATTTGTCTCTCCCATTAGACTATGAAGAGATTCTGGGTAGGACCTGGTGCTTTCGCTTCTGGATTGCCAGGACCTACTTCAGCATCTAGAACCAAATAGAAATGGAATAAATACCTTTAGAAATGAAAGGCTCACATGTACTTCTAATTATTAAACATAATTCAGTTTCATTTGATTTATGTCTGCGTCATTCTTTTCTGTGGGCTGACACATCCTTGCAGAGGATGAGCTGTGTGGCCTCTCCTGGTGGCAAGGCAGTCCATGTAGTGGTTTTCAAACATACTATGAAGTACATCATGAAGGCACATTTTAATTTCCATGTGATTATCACGTAGAGATTCCATTTCCTCAGTGTCCAAGATTATTGATATTTATTTTTGCTTCCCACTCTTAGTCTTTGATTTATAGCTCTTAATAGAATATTTTTCTAAGAAATGTGTCTTAAAAATCACTGAATACAGGGTTCAATTTACAACGCTTGTTACTTGGAGAAATTTGAAAAATAACTTGTTCTTGGCTCATTAATACTGAGCAATTTACAGTTTTCTCATCCCTTTATAAGAATACTAAAAACAATTCCTTTTTCTCAGTAAAAACAAGTTTTTCAGTTCAGTCATTGTGAATGCCATACTTGTCCTTCTCAGTGAAGATAATGGACTGAGATGACATTGCTTTTCCTGAATGAGAATAAGAGAAGTGTAGGCTAGAGCTTTCATAGCTCTACTCCTTCATATATGATTATAAAAAATTTATGTTTTCTCATTTAAGAGAGTGTCTTTTAGCCAATTATCTGCTAAGAATCAGAATATAGGATATTTAAATATCATGAAACAAGGACCCCAGGATTAGTGAATGTGGTCGACATTATGCATTAAATTCCTTAGTCCTTGATAATAGGACCCCAGTATAATTCCTGCAGCAATATGTCCAGTTTCGATGGAACACTTTATGATTCATGTAAACATGTTTTGGCTTTCTGGCTCTCCTTTGCCAGATGATTGTTGCTATCTCTGCCTCCTTGGAAGCTGAGGATAGAACTGGAATGTCAATGAACTGAAGGAAAGATTCTCTACCTTGGCTGTTCCCACTCCTATTGCTTCTTGTCTTGGGACCTTCAGGTACAAGTTTAAGACAAAACACTAACTCCTTAGGAAGGTGGAGAGGATAGCAATTGCTGAATTTCTGAAGATACATTTGAGCTACTGAGCCACCCATAGATTTTTTTTTTTAACCTCTGGGTTTTTAAACAGTAAACCATAGATGTCTTCTAAAGTTTAAACTACTGGCTGTTAGACTTTTTATTATTTGCAGCCTAAGGCACACTGATTGATGTAATATAAGTGAACCTTATATTTCCACATCTGTAACAGCCATGGACCCTACCCCATGGTAAGGACCAGTCTCTGTCCAGATTGTGAGGTATTTCTCTAAAATATATTGCTTTTATTCTCTGCCTGAGTATGTGCCATCCATTTTTTCATAAATTCAGCTTACATTAATTTGCTTTTAATATGTGTTATTTTTCTCTGCCATCTAGGATCTCTGCCTCCCACCAGGCCCTGTTTCCTTTTTCATTTGTTAACATCTTGAATTTAGTCCCTCCATTCTTGATCCCCCATTTCTTTCCACCATGTAACTAGTGGTTTAATCCATGTAGCCCTAGGGGCTAGTACCACGGAGGCCTCCTTGTGGCACCCTCATATCATACCACCTGTTCCTGTGGACAGGGAATGACCGGCACCGAAGGTACCTTACAACTGGTTCATATTATCAGAGGACCTTGGTCCTTTCTAAATCTTTAGCCTCTCTTCATATCCCTCATTGGGTGTTTTAAGATTTATCTGGAAGCCATCAAGGCAAAAGAGAACTTTAAGTTCCTTGTTCCAGCCCAGAGTTTTGGGAAAGAAAGAAAGAAAAGGAAGGTCACAGTGACCTAGGATTGGAACCTTTCTGCCCTTTTTGCTTGCAGACTACCTTCTATCCCAGAACAGCTGAGAAATCTATGAAGCTGAGATTCTGAAGGACCCAGCTTAGGTTCTTCCACTTAGGCCTCAATTCCCTTCCTTTTCCACAGGGGCAGCCTTAGTTCCCATGGCCCTGAAACACACACATTTCCTCCTTCCTTTCCCAGAAGCCACTGGCCCGCCAAAGCACCCAGTGCATCCTTTTTATAAGTGGAAGAACTAGGTTGGCTTTCTAAAGTCTCCTAGAAACGAAGTTCTTTCTCTCTGCAGCTTTCCCCCATGGAGTAGGAGTGAAGATGTTCATTGTCTTGGGACTGGGAAACCATTTTCCCAGGCTTCTCCCTCCCCCACCCCCATAGGAACAGGATTTGGCCTTAGCTTCTGGGCCTACCGGCTGCCTTCCCTCTACTTCCTACCAGCTCTTCTGCCTTCCTTTGAGCTCTGTTGGGCTTGGGGATCTTAGGGTTTTTTTTTTTTTTTATTTCCCAGCTCATTTTTTTCTTCTGGTCAGTTTTTTAAAGGGGGGGTATTGTGGGTTTTTGCTTTTGTTTTGCTTCTAAGAAAGTATTTGCCTTTCTTCCTCTCCCAACATAACAATCGTGGTAACAGAATGCAACTGCTGATTTACCAATGCATTTAATGTAAGGAAAAAAAGGAAAAAAAGAAAAAAAAATTGAAATTTCCAGGTAACAGTGAGTAGTAGGTGAGGCTCTTGCTGTCCCAGCATTATAATGAATGCTTACTTTACTTTTCACATTGTATGACTATCTCTTTGGTGTAAAGCAGTGCTAACTAATAGAAATATGAGAGTAACATATATAATTTTTACAAAAGGAAAAAAATACACATACATTATAATACAATAATAATATCTTATTCAATGCAATGGTTAGAGTGAAATGTAATCCTACCAAACAGTACAGTTGTGTTTAATGGGAAAACTATTTTGGATTGCTTCAGTTTTAAAATGAAAATTAATTAAAATTATAGTTCCTCCATTGCACTGGCCACATTTCGAGTGCTCAATAGCTACATGTGGCTACTGGCTACTGTATTAGATAGGTCAGACCCATTCTCTAAACTTGAGGGCAGGAACCGTGATCTATGTGGGTCATACCTTAGTTATTGCTTCTTCTGGAACCCTTTCAGGTTCTGTGCACCTCTTTTGTACTCCTACAGCTCTATGGGCTAACTTCTATGGTGGGGTGATTATACAGCCTGTGTTGCAATTACTTATTTACTTGCAATTATGCTCATTTTCTGAAGATGTGTGTCTGATTCTGTGCACTGCAGTCTGCGTGACTCGCGGTCTGGTGGGTGCTAGGGCCCATCTTGGACTTGTTGAACTTCTTCTGCCTCCATCAGCAACTGGTGTGATCAGCCTCACTGCAGAGGCAATGACTCCACTGGCTTCCTGAGCCTGGGCTCCCTCTGGAGCGCTTCATCATGGCTTACGCCCTAGCTTGGTTTACATGTTGTAGTCTCCTGCTGTAGACTGGCCCAAAACCATGCTTGTACAGTCTTGGTATTTCCTGTTCCACCTGCCTGCCAGACTAGATTTCCTCCCGAGGCAGCCTCAATTTACAATTTTTTGGGGTTGTACAGCATCAGGGCACAACTCCGGGGGATGACATTTTCTTGTAGTGACTCTACATATAAATAGTTATTTTGACAACTTTCCAGCAGATGGCAGTAAAGTGTTTTGAGCAAAGGTTTCCTTTTTCTAGTTTGCTTGAGGTCCCCAAATAAGCTAGCATCTGTGCTGCTAGCGGAGTCTGCCTGGTAAACCTAGCAGAAGGATCTAGTTGCAGCTTCTTGCTCCTTTCCTCTCACCCCTTATCTTTGTAGTGAATCACACCTGGCCAGGTATAGAGAAGATGTTGTAAGTTGGAAAAGCCTCATGTTTGGGGAAATGAGA